AGCCTGCTTCTCCCTCTCCCACTCCCCCTGCTTGTGTTCCCTCTCTCGCTGTGTCTCTCTCTGTCAAATAAATAAATAAAATCTTTAAAAGAAATAAAAATAAATTTAAAAAATAAATAAAGGCTAAACTTGAAGGGCACCTGGAGAGCTCAGTTTGTTGAGTAGATCTGTCTCTTGATTTCGCCTCAGGTCATGATCTTGGGGTTGTGAGATGGAGCCCCAGGCCTGGCTCTGCGCTCAGCGAGGATTCGCTTCTCTCCCTCTTTCTCTCCCTCTGCCCCTACTCCCGCTTGCTCATGCACTCTCTCTCTAAAAATAAATAAATAAAATATTTAAGAAAGAATAAAGACTAAACTTGAGAACATGATATATTAGGAATAATCTGAATTTGATCATAGTCCAAATGAAAATTTGATCATAGTCCAAATCTACTCTGAAACAGTGGTGCAATTTGAGGACAGTTATTAAAAATTTTATGGTTTTCAATTTTCTTCTAGAATTTCTTTTAACTTCTAATTTCTTATAAAAATGTTTGTGGGGATCAACTAATATATTTGTACATGTAATGAGATAGTTTATAAAAAATAACAGATATCCAAATATAGCTATTATTATTAATGTGGAAAACCAGGAGCCGTTATTGGCAAACCTCATAATATCTATCATCAACCAGAGTCAGAAGCTTCCTTAACTACTATTCACTGAATATGCTTGAGTTTCCTAAATACATATAAATTGCCCGTATCCTGTATTGCCTTAGGGGTCATGTGTCATTAGACATCATTTTATACATTTAGATTTGCAATTTCATTTATTGTCTTTGCAGCTATATTGATTGCTGACAGATTTATAGATACTTTGGTCTCAGTGTCTATATCCAAAGGAATGCATTATGTTTTGAAATTCAATTGATACTATAAATTTTCTGTCTTAAATGTAGTTAATTACTAAATTATAAGTTAATTTCAAAACATATATTTCTTTAAGATATAAAAACAGTGGGTAATTTTCTTTTATTGTGGGGCATCTGGGTGGCTCAGTTGGTTGAGTGTCTGTCTTCAGCTCAGGTCATGATCCTGTAGTCCTGGGATCAAGCCCAGTGTCAGGCTCCCTGCTCAGCGGGGACTCTGCTTCTCCCTCTCCCTCTGCTCCTTCCCCAGTGCTCATGCTCTCTCTCTCTTTTGCTCACTCTCTCTCAAATAAATCAATCAAATCTGTAAAAATTTTTTTTCTTTTATTTATTGGTTTGTTGATATGTACTAATATTTCTACAACATTCACATATTTGTCAATAAATGTAATTATTTTATGAATATCCATTCAGATTCCAAGGAATATATAAGCAAATGCAAATGTAGCTTTATTTTTAATTTAACTTTTATTATTTTTTTTTAAGATTTATTAATTTGTTTGAGAGAGAGAGGAGAGGGTCGGAGAGAGTCTTAAGCAGACTCCGAGTGAGCACAGAGCCCATCACAAGGCTCGATCCCACCACTCTGAGATGACCACCTGAGCCGAAATGAGTCAGATGTTTAACTGACTGTGTCACTCAGGCATCTCTTTATTTTTAATTAAAAGAAAATTATAGGGGTGCCTGGGTGGCTCAGTTGGTTAAGCAACTGCCTTCGGCTCAGGTCATGATCCTGGAGTCCTAGGATCGAGTCCCACGTCGGGCTCCCTGCTCAGCGGGGGGTCTGCTTCTCCCTCTGACCCTCTTCCCTC